AAGTATGAATATATAAGTTTATGTATAATAAACTTACAATAACTAAGTGTAAATTTTTATGTATAATAAAATTTTAATGTATGTATAATAAATTTATCAGAATTAAACAGAAAGCCCTTTCTAAGCAAAGCTGAAAACCCAGAAGCTGTAAAAGAAGAGGTTTAAAATTTTGACTACAAAAATATTTTGTTTTCTATATAATTCAAAAAAAAAAAAACAAAAGTCAAAAAATAAACAACAAATTATGGGGAAATACCTTGAACAGGCAAAAAGCTAATTTGCTTAATTTACTATGGTGGGATTAAAAAAAAATGACTCAATAAAAAAAATTGGGCAAAAGATTTGCAAAGGCAATTTATATAAAAAGAAGTGCAATGGGCTAATAAGTACTTAGAAATTGTTCAACTGTACTCATCATTAATTAAATGCAAATCAAATACAACAAGATACTATTTTTACCAAGCTGTCAAAATTGAAAATTTTTGATATGGTATCATCAGTGCTGGTTAATGGTTGGGACCATAAGCTCTCGGTATACACTGTTGGGAAGATATAAACTGATACGAACTTCTTGAAGAGAAATATGACAATATCTCTCAAATTATTATGCACACTCTTTAATGAGTTGAATAATATTTCCAATTAAAGGTAATACTTATGAAATTTTAAAATAAACATTCTCATTGATACAGCAACTCTACTTCCATGAATTTAACCTAAGCATACACTCAAAAAGTATACCAGGATATATGAACAAGAATATTCATTGCAACACAGCAACATGACAAAACAAATAAAAAATACTGAAAATTACAAACATGTCCATCAATTCAGAATGGGCTAAATAAATTCTGCTACATATATAGAGTAAAACACAATAAAGCTGCTAGAAAGAATGAGATAAGTCTATATGAACTGCTATGCATCTGTCTTAACCAAATATAACTGTCTTAAGGGGGAAGGAGATACAAGATGCAGATCAAACTGCATAACATTATGTCTTTTTTTTCCTGATCGAAATTAGGGTTCTATCAATTAGCAAGCAGAGGAGAATACATGGATATTGCATATGCAACCAACAGTGTCTATCACAGACTATTTGATTCTTAAAAGAAACTAAGATTCCTTTGTAATCCCATACTGGGAAAATAGAACCTGCAGAGTCTAACAGAAAGGCAAGTTAATCCTGCAAATTCCCATGAAAATATGACCCATGAGCTTCAGCCGTGGACTAAGACAGAAACCAGGATCTCTTCTGGAGAATCTCAGAGAAGTTGGTTTATTTATTACTCTCACTTCACCCCTATCCACAAAAACACACACATTAGAAAGGAAACATCATGAGGACAGGGTCTATTTTTGGTTCACTAGTATTTATCCCCAGACTAAGAGCTATGTCTGGCACACAAGTCATCAAGAATGAATGAATGAATTCCAAACCAACATTAGAGTAGACTCAATGTAGCCCTTTGGCAATCCTGCCTCTCATTCCATTGGCTCCTCAATGAGCTAACTCTGGGCCTCTTTGCCCTGATGCCACCTCTAGAGGCTTCATCAACTGAGACTTGGTAATTCATTTATTACCTAGTTAATTTTATACTTTCATCCCTATTCTCTGCCTTCATGCATATAGGTTAGAGGAGATAAATGTTTATACAGTGTAACTTAAGCAATGCTACTCAAACTGCAGGTCTGCAATGAGAAAAGGAGCTTGTACTAGAATTAAGTTAGTGAGTACTTCCTTCAACTAGGAAGTCTCGCTACCAAGTGCTTAGGGTGTAGCTGATTTACTTTCAGGCATAAGCCTCTTATCTCCTTTCCTAGACCAGTTAAAAACAGAACTGCCCATTACATTTTGAACAGCGCTAATTTAAAGTAGGGGCCTCCATTGTTCAAGTTCCAGTATTCGAGAGACTTTCTTTGCACTAAACATTGCCTTCTCCATCAAGTCAATTTCCCCATTGCCAGGAGGGATCTGAAGCAGAAAAGCATCCTGGTTAGGATAACAAGAGGCAAAGAAAAGAGATGGGGAGGGTGCCAAATAAACTTCACCTAATCTTCAATTTTGCACATAGGAATTCACAGTCACTTATCATATGCTAGAAGCTAGTGATTAAATTGGTAACAGATTACTGGCTGAGTCCCAGGCAACAATAATGTGGTTAAAAACAGTAATTAAGAATGTGAAAAATCAGATGCAATGGCTAACAGTCCTGTTCACCTTCAAAAATTCTGCAGCCTCAACTATCTGTCACTTTCCATTAGATTTGCAACTTGGCTAAACTCTGGAGTTCCACCCCGCAGTACCATTTCACTTAAAATACAGTATCCCAACAAGAATCAGAAAATCATGCTTTTTAAATCTCTAGACTAGCATTCCCATGAACCAATGATCCATAAATAAACACTATTTTTAAGTCTTCATTATGAAGCACATAGTTTCTCTTCACGCCAGTTTGGGTTGCCAACTTCTCTTCTTAAATCTTAATCCCTCCTACTCCAAAAAAATAGAAACATGCAAACAGAAGTTCATGGGGAACAGAGAATGAAATGCCTATCCTTCTGTAGCTATGGTCTGTCTCTAAATATTACCAAATAATAAAACTTCACAATTTAAAAAGTTTTTTGATACAGGAAGAATGTATTCTTTAATAATTCATAATTCTATATCTCACTGCCCACCACATAATATTGATATCTCTAATCTCTCCACTTTGATTTCTTCGGACCAGTCACCACTTCCAATAATTAGTTTTGTCTATCACTAATTCCTTAGCTTTCTTCCTTCAATATACTCTATTTATAAAACCATGGTTCCCAAAATGAACAATGACAAAATTAAAACTTATTTTCCCTGACTCCTTCCACAGCCATGCCTTATTCCATTCTCATGTTTTCCCTTTAGAAAAACCCAATACTGAATGGCTCCTCTAGCTTGTGCCCTCGATCCTTTTCTTTCTATCCTGCTGCCTACAGATTTTCTCCAAATACTTCTAATTTCTCCAAAGATTCACAATAACTAAAGAATTTATTCTTCCTATTCCCATTTCTTTGTCACAGTTGCATCATAAAAGTCAAACAAATCCCTATGTCTACATGGTCTTCTAACAAAGTTATTTATAAATTTTATTGTTTTAATGTCCAAAGTAACATAAGTGATCAACAATACTATCTGTTGGTTTCAGGCAGAGCTGAAGTATTTTCAACTCTGACATGTAGCTTTGTTGATATCCGCTGTAAAAATTCTGTGAGTAGGAGAGATTCTGTCCTTCTAAACATTAAGTATTTTGATATCTATGTACCTGATAACAATGTTTTACACTTCATAGACACTCAATAAATATATCATTTGGTAGACAAGGAATTTTGCAATGCTTTAAAAGAATAACAGTGAAAACACATCTTAAATATCACAACCTTTACCTTCAAACATAGTATTCTCTAATCCAACACTTCCGCACTTAGAAACAGAGATAAAGGAAATTATCTTAAATATACATACATACATATATATACACATAAGTAAATACACAAAGATGTTTACCGTAGCACCTAGGTGTTCGGCAATGATTAATAAAATTATATTCATTCACTTGGAAGAATGTTACACAAATTTAAAATGCTACACCATTGTAGAAGAGGTAATATTCTGTGGAAAATGTTTTGCTATATGGTTAAATAAAAAAGCAAGGTTCCAAATTTTATCTATAGTATTACCGCAATTATTTTTAAAGCCATCTAGAAAAAAAAAGACTAGAAGGAAACACATCAGTGAGATTACTGGCAATATTTTTTTTTGTGCTTTCAAAATTCCTACAATGAACACTTAATGCTTTTATAGTGAAAAAAAATTTTATCATAAAATTCCCAATCTTTTACTCAAATAAAAAGGAAGATTCAGACTATGTGTAGGAGGTAACAAATGGGAATAACTTTGTCTATGCTGTCTGTATTTTAGGTTTCTCCATTTAACAAACTTGTCCTATAGTACTACTGAGATTTTTTTTATAATGGATAACAAAATTTTAATAGCATGCTCAAATATGCCATTCAAATCTGACCTGGATAATCGGCATCTTCAAATCACAACTATTCTAATATGCTGAGTTTTCAATATGTCTAAGGAACTAGCCACAAACTCAGAACCAAGGCAAATCTGAAATCCTGTTTTTCCCACTTTGTTTTAATCAAATCATTGAATTCTAATATATCTCCAGAGATCTTAGTAGGCACATATCAGTGACTCAAAACCTCTACAGTAAATGAACTTTCTGATGCCTAACCCCAATTTCTTCGTTTCCTTTTGAACTCATTTTTTCTAATTCTGTCTTCAGTGTAACTGACAGCAGCTGCTCACAATCACTCAGATACCATTAGATAGTGACCTTTTCTTTACATGATTGATCATTACATCTCATGATCTTTCCATACAGTGATTTTCATTTGATTATAACTGGTCATCCAACAGTTCTGAAAGCATTCCTCAACCTCCTAATATTCCTGCCATTTATAAAGCAAATAGATATTAAATTTGGAAATTAATGCTTTTTGCCATTATCTCACTTGAAACATCTTCCATTTACTATGAATTAGCTTTTGGTTGGAAGTAAAATCCCTTCAAACATATTCCATCTTTCCTTCCTTTTCCCCACTCCCATGCCAAAGCACAAGCATCTAAGCCATATCTTATCTTTTCCTGCACAGTATCCAATCTGCTTTTTATAGCCAGAAGCTCTCTGAATGCAAAGCACGACCTTGGCTACCAGCTTCCCCTGGCAATAGTTCGAAAGTTATTTATAACTCTAAAATTAGCGTGAAAGCGTACATTTCTCATCATAACTAGTCAAAACATTCCCATTTCATATAATAATGTGATCTTCCTTAATTCAGAAGGAAACCCCACATTTTAAATCTATGATTATAACTAAGACACAGGAATTCAATGCAGAAATGAGAATTCGCTGATGTTCAGCTCTTCTCTTTACAAACTTGACTCTTACCTTTCTGTTTCTTCCTATGAAATAAATAGGCTTAAAATGCAGCTCCTCCCTAGGGAATTTTCCAAAAAGAGCTTGGGAGGGGGTGAAAAAAGACTTCTTGGTGGTCACAGAGTTACAGAGTACCAAACTGAGAGGCAGTGACAGTGGGGCAGTCACTTTAGCTGAGCATTGTTCACCCAGGATAAGAAAGAAAGGGGAGGTTACAAGCCAGGGTGGGTGGTATCTAATCCTGAACTGCTAGTCACTGACCTCACTGACAACTTGTTACTGAAAATACTTCGTTGAAAAAGGCCAGACACATACTTTGCCTAGAGACCTACAAACATAGCTCTGAATAAGTTAGATCTGCACTTCTCTAGTTCCCTTCCAAAAGAAGAACCTCTTATATCTAATTAAAGCCAAAGGCTGGAATTATTGAAAGTGAACAATAAAGAAGGGAAAACAGGAGTCCAGAAAATCCTCACATCAAAAGATCAATTATGTAAAATTCAATGTCTTCAGAACCCTAGAGATGATGACATCAAGGCCATGTGTCACATCTGAGATCTTATTTTTCTTCTTCTGAAATATTACCTGTCTCATACCTTGTACCAAGCATCACACATTCTGCTTCCAGTATTTTTGAGGAACCACATCATTATCAGTAAAGAATGTAAACTGAACATTTACCAAAAGCTCAGTAGTTAAACGATTATTAAATTTAAGCCACCCCAAAAAAAAAGTCTTCTCCACCAAAATTTCTTTTTTCTCTCCACGACTATCATTTTTCATATTTCCTCCTCCCTTTTTTGATATCTTCTCCCTCAACATCTTCACATTCACTGAAATCTTGCATATCCCTGCCTTATTCTTTATCATTTCATCAATTCCTTCACATCCCACTTGAACTGTGGCATTTCTTTGGACATTACCATTTTTCTGACTTTCTTCTAACAGCTTCTAAGACAAGCAGTGCTAACTAAAATATGAACTACTTGTTTGAGTTTTAGCAGTCCTGTTCTTAAAAGGCTGAATTCAAAATAAAAAGAAAGCATTTATTTATTAGCTCTCCAAATACTCTTAGCACAAATATCAGGGAGCCAAGAGGAAAGGCAGGGTCTGGGAATTGTCAGAGATTCAACTGTGAAGGCAGTTCATTTTATATTATTTTCAGGAGAGCCTTCAAAATAACTATTTTTATGTACTACCTTTAAAATGTACATAATTGACAATACGTTTATCTAAAGATTCTTAGTTGCTAACATGCTATCCTCCCCAGATTTTTTTTTAAGCAGCTTTTTCCCTCTGGAGAATCTAGGAAGAGTCCCTTTTCACAGTGAAACAAAGAGTAAGTTTTATGTCTCTCAATCCATCTTTTCTTGAATAAAGAAATCACTTGACACTTGCAAAATAGTAGGTTTTGTTTTAGAGCTTTAATAATGAATGTTTTCCAAACCAGGACTGTTGAATTGAGCCCAAGATGAGATATCCAAATTCTACCATGGTTTGGCCTGCTGTGAAACCACAATAAGTAACTTACCTGACTCTCCTTTCCATATACAAAATGGAGATGAGTACTCCTATTCTTTTTATTTGCTTTTCAGAGGATATGTGAATTATACGGATAAAAGCTGAACAGCTTTAAATTATACTGAACTCTTCAGAGATGCGATACAGATAAAACCTTCTTACAGAAATTGGTGTTATCAAAACAATTAAATATTATAAATATCTGAAATGTAATTTTAAAGAGCTTTCAGCAGCCTCCAAGATAGTATTTAGCTGAAGTATTTCCCACTATAACCACAAGAGGTCCCTCCCAGCAATTCAAATCACGTTGGATTTGTTGAGCACAGGCCCCATGGTCCTCTGCATTTATATCGGTTTGCTGACAGAAAACACATATTACCTATGTCAAATTTCCATAGCTAACTATAGGGTAGGAGACAAAAGCAGAGAAATCTGGCTTTCTTTGTGTGATCTCTGAAGCATAATGGAGGCTAAATAGTTCCTGTAAACTACACAGCCCTTGGATTTTGCATCCTGGCCCTCTTCCAGATTTTCACAGTAATTCTTTCTTGTCACCTTGCCCAGTCTTGTTCAGTATTTATTCTCCTTCCCTCTTTACTTGTTTCCTTTCTTTATACTTTGCAAACTTTAAAATGTTGGCTCACATGCCTCTTGCAAGCAAACAAAGATTGAGAGTAGAAGAGCTAGAAAAAAAAAGAAAAGAGAATAAATCAGGGCCATTACTAGCAATTCTACCAATGTAATCAAAAGTGAGTTTTTTTGGTTGGAGGCATCAAGACTGGCCCCAAACAAAGTCATTCAACTGCATGTACTGAGAGCCCCCTTGATCCAGAGCCCTGTGTTAGCAGCCAGCTAGAAGATTACAGAGAGAAAGGGGCCTCCAAAAAGAAGACAGTTTTATCCCTATCAGTAGCCTCTCTTGGAAAATAAGTCCTCCAGGGTGCAATATGTTCTTTATTCAGAATGGAGTACAGTTTCTTCTTGTCATTAAAATCCCTTATAGAATGAAAATTACTTTTGCATGAACGATGAGTCCACTTTATCTGTACATAAGACCTCAAAATACCAGCAATTTCAGGTTGGGGCTTTAAAAATATGAAATTTTCTAAACAGCCATAATACCTTTCTAAAATGAGATTTAAAGCTAGGAATAATTGCTATTTGTGATAAAATCTTTTTTTTTTCCCCAAAAATATGTGATACATAGTTCTGGCACCTTGTCACGTATTTTAGGTGAATCTAAATGAATTCTCCCCTGATTTGAAGGTCTTATGAACTATTAATATAACAGAAAAATGTTTCTCACTCTTCCTTCCCAACCATCCCCATTATTAGCAGCTAACCAACTCTCCTGCCTCACTAAGAAAAACAGACGCCATCTGGAAGATGTTTCACATCTTTCCACCATCAAATCTATAAACCACAGACACCCCTTCTTCTCTACCCTCCCTCCTATTAAAATGCAAGAAGTCCCCTTGCTCTTATCAAAGGCTAATCTCTTTTGTGTGCTGGATCCCTTCTTTCCTCACCTTCTCGAGGACTCTCCTCCTTCATGATCACTTCATATACTGCATTCTCATCCCTTCTCCAATGATCAGTGCAAAAATATGCCATAGGATTTCTACCTGAAATTTTTCAAACCAACAAAGCATCACTTTTACCCTAAAGCTCCCTGTAGTTGCTACTCTAGTTCCCTATGCCTTCATCACAATACTTCCCAAATGAGTTGTCCACCATCCCTACATTTTTACCTCTCACTTCACAACCTACTACCATGACTTATTTCCCCTTCACTCCCAAAAGGGCCATTTTTAAGTCTATCAACAACCTCCATGTGGCCAAAACATTTTGTCATCTGAGGGGATATCTCATTCCACCTATGGCTTTAAATGAGATCTTTAAATGAGTTAGGATGTTATGTGGGACTTCTCCTGTTGCCAATAATTGGTGACTATGGCTCAAAATGACAGAAAATGAAGCCACCCATGTACATGCTAAGGGATTTCCAGTATTTGAGGACAGACACCTCATTCAGGGATCACTAAGAAGCAGTTAAGAAAAGAGCTACATGCTCTTCCTCTCCTATTCTTTCTCCTAGAATCAAGGAAAATTTCCTGGTGTAACCAAAATGCAGGTTCAGTTGCCCACGGGTTGCAGAGTCCAATTAACAAGAGCGAGGTCTGGTATAAAGAAGGTGACTTTTTATTCCAAAGCTGGCTTAGGGGAAGAAGTACAGACTTCTGTCTTTAAGGGTGCTGCTTCACTTTTGAAGCAGAAAGTGGGTGCTTTTAAAAGGGGTCTTGGCAGCAATGGCATGCAGAGGAGGGAAATGCAGGTGGGGGTCTGCATAACTTGCTTTGGTACCTTATCTACTGGGCAGTCAAGCTGGTGACCACTGGTGCCTTTGTAGGCAGAGCTAGATTGTAAAAATAGCTGAAACTCTCCAGTCAGGAAAGAGTTTTGTAGCAGGCATACTTTGAGGTGGTCTCTCATGTCAGTCTCCTGGTGGGAGAAAGTCAGGCTCTGGAGCTTCTAAGCACATAGTGGGATTAACTCACCCTGTAGGGAGTGTCTGGTGAAGAGGAGGTAAAAGGTTATAATTGCATTTCTAAAGAGCTAAGTAGGAAGTGGGAGAAAGGAGGAAAGAAAAACGAAGAAAAAAAAATAAGCAATCTCTTAGAAAAATGGGGGTACTCGGTTATACTAGCCATAATACTAGAGGAAAAGTTAGTGAACCTGAAAAGTTAGGGAAACAAGGCCAACTGCTTCCTCTCCTCTTGAAGATACCAGGGCAAAAGTGATGAAAAAAAAATCTCTTTCCCCATTCCAAGTCCCTTGAGAGCACATTTGGTCAGTGCTGGGGGAAAGAAAGGGAGATTTAAATTCGAATGAAATGGAAGTGTTAAACTGGACAAGCAGGCCTTTAAGGAACTAAAAATGGCAGGAACCTACCTGATGTGTCACTAAGGAATAGGAAAGGGAGAGGCAGCAGAGCAAAGGTGGATACAGGAATAGAAGAAAACAAGCTCGTTCACTTAAACCAGTTACACATCCATATATTAATGGTTCCCAACTTTGTATCCTATTCCAGACCTCTGTCATGATCCCAGAGCAACACATTCAAACTGCCTTCTCTATTTGAATAACTAATACACATTTCAAACTTGTTCAGACTCAAGAGCTTCAAAAAGGAGCTCTCGATTTTGTCTCAAACCTATTTCTTTCTGTCATTCATATCCCAATAAATGCTACCATCACCCAATTACTGCATAAGCCAAAGACTTGGAGTCATCCTTCATTCATTCTTTTCCCTCATTACCATCAGGAATTTCCATTGATCCTACTTACAAAATTTGTCTTTAACATGTCCACATTTCTCTCTCTCTTCTACCCCAACTATTCCATCATTGGTAACCATTCTTTACATAGCTTCTAAGTTATTTTTCAAAACTTAGAAGTTTAGCTCATGTTATTCTCCTGTTTAAAATTATCCAAAGGCTTCCTATTGCTCATAGCAGAAAATCCAAATTCTTTACCAAATCTACATGGCCCTGCATGATCTGGCTGCTGTCAACCTCTTCACCTTGACTCACATTCTTCCCCCACAACTCAAAACACTCTCCCTTCTAATATACTGACTCCAGATATACTTTCTATTTATAAAATAACCAACCATATTCCCCTAGGGCAGTGGCACTTGCTGTTCCTTT